ATTGTTGCTAGGTCATCTTCTGTAGCGCTATTTGCAGCATAAGCAGATCACACTGCGATAGCTCTTAACTCAGTGATGAAAAGTAGGTGCTCGATTCCAATCGTTTTTCCAGCTGCTGAGTTACGGACTCTATCGCAACACGTAAAGCCTGCGATTTTAGTCAGGAAGCTGGCTTTGATCGAAGATGATCATGCTTTTTAAATTACTGCCCATGAATCATAACTAAAGGTGAGCACAGATACAAAATCGATTTTGTCATGTTGGTTCAGTGCAGTTCACGGACCATTCCGCTGCTCACCGAGACCGACGAGCCAAATCAATGCATTATAGACAGGTCTCCCTCTACTGTCTGCCAAAGACAAGATGCAAAGCTACATCCAAGTTTTTTTCTGCATTTGCATTGACCCTGTTTCACCAGTGATCCAGATTTGTCTTGGACGCTTTCTGCTTTCATATCTTCTGCCTTGTTAATAATAATTTTCGTGTCAGGTTCTGTATAAGTGGTATATCATATACAACTCTTCTGAGACGACTTATATCAATCCTGAAAACTCCTTAAACTTTTCCCAAACAAACCGTTTTCATGCCTGGGGCATGCGTTCTTTGTTATCTTCCTAGAATCGAACCATTTACTTGCGCCCCAGATGACTAATGACAGGTTTTTCATGTGCGTTCCAGATTTCTCGTGTACGTTCTTTGACCGCCATCGTTTGAAAACAGCTGGATTCGGCATTAAATGCTACGGTACTCCGCTAAGTAGTTTCGGTGGCAGCTTTCCTTTTCGTAGTGAAGGCAGACTCGCCAGGCAGTGCCAGCTTTGGCAAAACAGAATCTGACTCTGAAGTAGAGTCCTTCCATAAACTTGCCCAGGCCATGCTTAGCGGACCTGAGGTCTTTAACCGGCACCCTGAGTAAGTAGTAGCTGTTTCGTCTTTCTTTCTGAAAGCATTCGCAAAACGTGCTCAAACCATCGTAGCTGTGACTAATCAACCTGAAGAAGCACTTTACACCAAAACTTTCCTGGATCTGAACTCTGAATCATGTCTGGAAGTCATTTGAACTCTGAATCATGTCGAATAAGTGCAGCGATTCATCTCAGAAAGCCGAATGGAGCTGAGTGTAATCGGAGTCGTAGTTGTCAGTCATGATTCATATCCATCGTTG